GGCTTGGCACATTGTCTGTTTTTCTTCCTCTCCCTGCTACAGTTTCTCTGCACAGTAGTTTTCCATTTCAGCCTTCATTACTGAAGAAGGATCTTGGAAATAAAAGGGGCTTGTGTGTGCACGTGTGCCTGTTATTTAATCATGTCCCTAGTGCTAAGAAAAAAGTCCCTTGGAGATCAGAGCCAGATGAAAGATCTTGATTTTAGCTGGAGGGGGAAATGGGGAGCTAAAAATCAGCTTGCCTGAAAATTCTCATAAAATTTTCAAACTCCTGAAACTGAAAGTTCTGCAGTGCAGAGGTACTTCCATGCAATGTAAACAGGGTCACTTAGGGCTTCCTGGAATGGCACTGGGGTGGGGGCCACTGTCAGTCAAACTGATGTTGGACTTGTGATGGGGGTGGAGGGAACTGACCCTCAAAAAAGAGATTGCTTTGGGCAAGAGTAGAAAATAAATAATCTCTTTCCCCCCACCTTTCCCATCTGCTTCTGGCAAAGAGAGGAGAAGGAAACCAGCTAAACCCCCTCACCCCTTTGGTTTGACATGCAGTGCTGAAATGCTGGACAGCTCCTGAGGGTCCCCGTCAAGTTGATTATTGTTGATGTTGATGGTGGTGGTGGTAGTAGGGTCAGTTGAGGAAGTCATGGTCATGAAGACAATTGTGAAGAGGAAGTGCATGTATGTGGGGGGTGGGGTGAGTATTCTGAGCAGAGCATCACCAGAGCTGGCATCCAATAAGTAAATATTGGTTGACCTTATTTATCATTCAAATGTGTCTGCTCTGCACTGCATGAGTCAGTGCAGGCAGACTTTCTCATTCTCTTATGCTTTGTTGAGCCTAACCTGAGAGGTAATTTATTCTCTGAACACTCACCAACCCACTGCGCAGAGGAGAAGCAGGGGTGTAGCCAACGTGGCAGGGGAGGCCAGCCTGGCATGAACCCAGAGAAATTTTATAAGATGACCAGTCCTCATAAAAATGCTTGGAAGGTGGCTGCAAACTGTTTTGGATAGGAAGAGCCTCTCTCCCATTCAAGAGCTGTCAACAGAACCCACCTCTGTATTTCTCTGAAGACATGAAGGTTACAAATTCTCTGGGTGGTTTTACCTCTGGCCTCTAATTTTGAATTAGGCTGGGAGGAAGAAGGCTAGAATGAAGGAAATAGTCTTGGCAGGACAATCATGGCCTTACTTTGAGTTGGGTTAATTTGCTCCCAGCAGTGTAACTTGAGGACCTTTAGGAAGGCTTGATCAGCACTTTTTTATTATTACAACAAGGAGAGATCTACAGCACTGGAAAGGAAAGAAGCTCATGTAAGAAATGGAGAGGATGGACAAAATTTGGTAGACTCAGAGTGCTGGATTTTTGAGGAAGACCATCCTTAGATGAGGAATTTTTCTTGAGAATAAGAAGGGTGCCAGGAAGTGAGGGAACCAAAGATATACTTCACCTACTTTGGTGATTTTTCACCAACATAGATCTGATTAGCAGCCCCTGCTTCCTTAGATGAATGCTTGTTTCTTTCTTACCTTAATATGACCTATTGTATTCTGATTTGTCAGTCAGGCCTGACCTGCATAGTAGAGCAAGATGACTTGAGACTACAGTTCAGTAAGAGGGTTTCAAGTTAGAGCATTGTAGATAGCTGATTGACTACAAAACACAACATCATGGTGTGGACATTGTAGTCTTCATTTGATTTAATAATCATCATCTCACCTGATCTTTACAAAGATCTTGCAAGGAAGATGGGGGTGGGGCAAGAAATCCAAATCTCATGGAAAGGTTCTGGCTTTTCTGTGGAACTCAACAGATAAGTGGCAGAGCTGGAACTCAGATGCTCAATTTTCTCGCATATGTCAGTGTCAGTGGCTAACATGGAAACATCTCTTTTATTCAACATCTTTCAGCATAACCCAGCTTATCCAGGGGAATGAACACAGTGGCTTTGGAAGGGCTTGGTCTCCAGCTGTTAATTATTCAAGACAATATACTCAGAAAAAGGATGTGGGATTCTAAGAATGTAATTGTTGAAAATTCCCAAGAACCCTACTGATTGCACTTGCCTGGCCAATCAGATTCTTTCCAGCCCAGGACTGCAGCCACTTTGGCTTCTTCTTCAAGTGCACATGGCTGGAAATCGATGGTGATGAGGGTCCTTCCATTTTATCTCCTGCATATTGCAGAGACTCAGGCATAATAAATGGAATCAACAACAGTTGCCAGGTGAAAATGAGGACACCTTCTCCTCCCTCTGCCAATATAGGAAGAGATCCAGAAAGAGAACAGAGGAATGAGTGACTTAATTCAGATGCAAGATGGAATAAAACAAACCAAAACTCTGTAAGACTCTCTCTCCCTCCCTCCCTCCCTCCCTTTCTCTTTCTCTCGCTCTCTCTCCCCTTCTCACTCTCCATCTCTGCTTTTCCAGCTGCTAGATTCTTTTCTTTTTTAAAATTTATCTTATTCACTTGAAATACAGAGTTACAGAGAAAGAGAGAGGTCTTCCATCTGCTGGTTCACTCCCCAGTTGGCCGCAATGGCTGGAGCTGCGCTGATCTAAAGCCAGGAGCCAGGAGCTTCTTCTGGGTCTCCCACGTGGGTGCAGGGGCCCAAGGACTTGGGCCATCCTCCACTGTTATCCCGGGCCATAGCAGAAAGCTATGGAGCAGCCGGGACTAGAACTGGTGCCCATATGGGATGTCAGAGGCTTCAGGCCAAGGCTTTAACCCGCTGCACCACAGCCCCGGCCCCTAGATTCTCTTTTTACTTGTGGCTGTACAGCTGTCATAAACACCTGGCTATTTTTGTATTTTTAGACTCATTTTCTTCATGGAATTTTGGGATTTGCTCTTTCATTTTTACAAAATTAAAACATCCTCATAAAATCTTGAAGATCCATCCTTCCTTTCATCCACTCAATCAGGCCACCATTCATCTATGTAATCACCTATCTAACCAGCCAACAAATAGTAGTACTCAATCAGAACAATCACTGTATCAGGTGCTCTGGGAGATGCAAAGGCAACTAAAATGCAATCTCTGTGTTAGTCAGGGTCCAAACCAGAGGATGGAGGCTACTGTAAGTATTCACAAGATGGACAACTTGGTATAAGAATTTGGCAGGAGATGGCAGAGACCCGAAAGTTATCTGCACTTTAGATACACTATAATGCCTAGGTTGGGGAGGCCAAGGGAGGCGTCAGGGATTGGGATCACCAGGTGTAGGCTGGCACCAGAGTAGATGTGTCTAGTGGGGATTGGGGACATGGGGTAGTCACAGGTTCTGCACAGACGTTACCTAAATCTAAGGGAGAAATACCCTGGCTTTTCCCCTGCCTGCTGTCTATACTAATGAACCCAGCCTGAAACCTGTGAAATGCAACCTGTTGGGCCTTCTCCCACCCTTGTCACAAGATGGACTAGAACAAAGGAAGGGTGAGGGAGGAGTCTGCTGCCAGCACAGCCACAGTGCTGGAGGTGAGGACAGAGGGCAAAGGCCCAGTGCACTCAGACCCTAGTGAAAACTCTCTGGTTTGAGGATGGCCTCGCATCAGGAAGGAAATTGGAACTTTGGAGAAATAGCCTAATGTTCCTTTAGGAATGCGGATGTTCTTTCCAACATGACCGCCCCATGGAAGGGCTGACCTGGATCAGGGGCATTTAGGTGGAGTGTAATGCAGTCTCATGGTGCTTCTGTCACACGCCCAGTGCCAGCCAATGGTTGTCCATGGTACTTGAGCACAGGGCTCCATCCCAGACCCTGTGCACACCGCACTGCCATCACACCACAGCAGCTCCTGCCTCCTTGTGGTTTGGCATAGGCCAGAGCTGTTTTCTTTGGCTGGATGATTTTCTATCCCTCTTCTCGCTCCTGGGGGATTCTTACCTCTTGATACCCAGACAAAATGTCACCTTCACCCTGTTCCACATTCTCCCAGCACTTTCCTCCCAGCGCCAGGTGTGTTAGTGGTCAGCTGTCAGTGTGTCTGTCTCTCCCATCAATGAAGAGTCCTTGGGGAGCAGAGCCCCACCTCTTTCAGTACTCACCCACATCCAAGCATAGCACAATGCCTGGTACAAAGCACTCAGTAAATATGAGTTGAGGGAGTGAACGTGCTTTCATGGTCTATGTACCACTGTGTATAGACGAATACAAAAACCCTCTCTTCTCGAAGGGCCTCAACTTTCCTTACTACCCCTTAGGGTGGTGGTCATCAGTGAGTGAGGTGGCTGCAGTGATGACCAACTGAGCTCCAGCCCTGATTTCCCATCCACGAGACCCCACAACATCCCTCGGAAAGACATCCCTGGAGGAGTTGGGTGTGGGGCTGTGAGCGGCTCCTGGTACCTTCCTTTTGATGTTTTATGGATGTGTCTCCTCACCCAGTCAGCCCAACACGACCAGGCAGAGCTCGTGTCTGTTCTGAACAGCTCAGACAGCTTTTAAAGCTTGATCATTTGGGTGAATTTTTATATGCAGAAAACAAGATCTTTCCTCCTTTCCTCCTCCGCTTTTTATCCTTTCCTTTTTCTTGCCAAGTGGGCGACCTCCTGCATCCAATCTTGCCCTGATCTTAGGGGTCTCAGCCTGGTCTAGGGGAAAAGAATTGAACTGTAAGGTTTTCTCTTCTAGGGCACCTGTTACCTTTCTGACCCAGCTCTCAGTCTCCTGAGCTCCCAAGACTGGAAGGGGTTGGGATGGGGGTGGGGGGCTGGGTAGGAACCTTCTGATGTTCAGGCATCAACAATCAACAGTCCGCCTCTGAAAAGTGCCAATCCTTTTCTTTTTCATCTTTGAGGCTTCCTCAGACAGTTCTCTACAATACAAGCAGATGCTGGCAACCATCAGCCCCTTTATGCTGGGCAAAAGGAGGCCAGCAGAGGTGGGGTCCCGAGCCTGATCTCAGGTGCCTGCTGGTGAGGGGCTGGGGCCCAGACACAGGGCAGGTGAGGATGGGGAAGGGTGGGGGCTGGGGGGAGGGAGTCTTCTGCAGCTTCTGCCCACTGCTCCTCACTGCCTCCTTCTCCTGTCTGCTGTGAGAGAGGGAGATGGACCAGCAGCTGACAAGTCTCTGAATCCTGGCTTCCTGGGCTTTGTGGCCTCGGGCAAACTACTTAATGATCTGGAAGTTGGATTTCTCACCTGTAAATGGAGAAAATTCCTGCCCATGGGCTGTGTTGAGGATTAAACGCAATAGGGAGCCTAGCCACAGGCCTGGCACACAGCAAATACTCAACAGTGAGCATTTATGATGATGATGATGGCTTCTATTACCGTAGCTCACACATCCCTGGTCCTGCCCTCTGCATTGGAGCTGGGCTGATCGGCAGCTGCGGCTGGCCTGTCTTCTCCCAAAGCCTGCAGCCCTTGAGTCCAAACCCATGGTTTCTTCCACTGCCATCAGTTCTCCAGCCCCTTTACCCTTAGTCCCCAGGTCCCCATTGCAGGGAGAGCCCCTGGGAAGGAGGCTAGGAGGAGTAAAGGGGCTCTGGGACAAAGGAGGAGTAAGCCAGGCTCTGGGGACAGCTTATTCCTAAGGAAGGAGAGTTCCAGGGTCACCCTTGTGGATATATGGGTTGGGGTGGGGAATAGTGAAGTTGGCAAACACTATTGCTTAGTTGGAAATAAGAAACCGTAGCAAGAAGCCACAACTGACAGCTACGGTGGGAAAGGACTGTAGCGAGCTAAGCGAAGTGGGAGCAGCCAGATTCCTTCTTCCTGAACAGTGGGAAGCAGCTGGGCCTCTTCTCCCTTCACCCTTTCCTTCTCGGGGTGCCCCCAGCTCCACCATCTTCCAGACGCGTCTGCTCCCGATGTTGCCAACTGCTCCCATCTCTATATTGGTAGGAATCCTCCCTGCTCTCATATTTTCCAAAGGCATTGCCCTGCTGGGCAACCACCTACCCTTGATGGTTCTCTCCTCTTGGGGGCTTCAGGGTGGTTCTGCTGGCTTCCTTCCATGAAGCTTCCTGAGAAGGCCTCCTGGATTTGAGCAGGATGGTCCAGTTCTCTCTGCCACATCCGTGATGTCTTATGCTAATTCCCTTCACTTTTATTCCTGAGGTGGTTGGAACCGAGCCATGCTGTTGAGCCGTGCTGGTCTTCAGGGCTCTCTGGCAAGATTGGGTCTAGCTGCTTGTGGACACCCATGATGCTCTGATGAATGGACCCATGTAAACCCAGAGTGGTGGGTGGCTGGCAAGGGGGGGTGGGGAGCAGAGGGAGGGTGATTCTCCTTGCGCTCTCTGAAATTTCTGCAGAATTTGGAAACTCTCCTCCTTTTCCAACCCCAACCCTCAATGTTCAATTCCTCTTTCTTCCTCTACTTTTGACAATGACTTGGTTGCTCTCAAAATAACAAATGTCTTCATGGATGCAGGTGGCTAGAGGAGTTGTCATTCTGCTTCTTACTCACGTGTCTCTAAAGTATGTCCCTGAAGGTGACTCCAGATGTTGGTGAACCAGGACACCTTCTGACATGCACTTTGACCTAGAGGCCAGGCAAGGTCAGGACAAAGGGCAGAATTGCCCCAGGAAGGGCTGGGTGGAGCCACATGTTTTCAAGATGAAGGATCAAGCTCTAGGGAGCAGGCTTGCCCATCGTTTGGGAATGTCTTAGAACGGAAGTTCCAGGTTTGCAGCTGTGTCTTCATTGGCTGGGGAACTGGGCTGGGAAGTTACAGGCCAGCCCCTTTCCAGGGATGTCAAAGTCACAGGCTGGCTTCTGTATGTGGTGGTGTCCATGTTCTCCCCACACTGTGCTGCACAGATATACCACTGTTCCCAGGGATGGCCACACCTCTTTAATGAAACTGCATTTTTTTTTTTTCAATTGACCCGGATATTCAGCCAATGGGTTTGAACACACCTGTTGGTCTGTACCATTCCAGAAATGTCTGAGTTTGTAAGTCTATTTCTAAAATCATGGCAGCTCTGCCCCATTTTGCCCTCAAAAGTTGTGCTGAACCAACCAGACCCACAGCCATAGGAAGCTCCCAGATTTGAAATGCAACTAAAGTCTACCCAAGGATGAAAATGTAAGTCCATGAACAAGAACCTCCAATGAACTTGCATCTTGTCTAATGACCCAGAAAGTCTGAGCCTTTGGGGGAAGGCAGCTTGCAATGGGGCAAGAGAGTGGATTTCTCTGGGCTCAGACTTTCCCTGACCTGGGCTACACTCAATGATCCAGGTTTGAGCCATGTCTTCGACATAGTGTGACCCTGAAGGCTCGGAAAGACCCTGGACTGGAGTTGTCTCTGAGGAGAAGCATATCTGGAGGAAACAGCTGATGTAAGTAAGCTCCGGAATGGCAGGGAGCAGCGGCCTGGGTCAGCAGTCAGTGTGGGAAGGGTGTGAGGCCAGGGAGGGGGAGCAGCTCTGGCGAGTGGATTTCAGCAGGGAGGCAAGGCATCCAGCTCCAGTGATTTTTGGAGGCCTGGCAACATGTGGTTGTTGCCACACAATCTCTTATAGCATTTATTTATTTATAGAACTCATCAATCTCACGTGTCTTCACTGTATAGATGTTACTAAAATCATTCGTGAGCTTTCAATCATTAATGCAAAATGCAATACAGACGAGGAATGCAAAACAACTAAAAATAGATAACAAAATTGAACCCTATCTCTATTCTTCTGAGTTCTAAATTTTGATGTGATTTCCCACTTACAGAAACGTTATAAAATGCCATAAAGAACTCCATTTGGCCCTTTGTTTAGACTGGACAGTTGGCTATCACCTTGGCCCATTCATTTCATTGTGCTCTCAAGTTCTCTTAAAAACCAGGAACAGCAGCCTAGCCCAGAGGCCAAGACCACAGATCATGTGGTCCTGGAGAGCCAGGGCACCGAGCTGGTCAGCAGAGTAGCTGGGGACATGCTGAGCTGACCCGGAGGGAATTTGCCAGAGGGATAAAGCTGACTGCTCACCCTCTCCAAGCCACTATTTTCTCCTAGTAAATAGATTTTTGAAAGAGATTTATTTTATTTATTTGAAAGGCAGAGGGACAGAGAGAGAGAAAGAGAGACAGAGCGATGGAGAGCTCTTCCATCCACTGGTTCAAAATGCTGCAGTGGCTGGGGCTCGGCCAGGCCAAGGCTAGGATCCTAGGACTTTGTCTGGGTCTCCCATGTGCATGGCAGGGACCCAAGCACTCAGACCATCATCTTCTGCTTTCCCAGGCGCATCAGCAGGAAGCAGAATCGGAAGTGGAGCAGCCAGGACTTGAAACGACACTCACAAATGGGATATAAGCATGTGTCACAAGTGGTGGCTTCGCTCGCTGTACCAAAACACCTGCAGCCCCAGGGTAAACAGGTGAACGTCTAGCTCCGTGGGTTTTTGATGAGGATGGAGTGAGTGGATATCTGGGAAGTGTCATGTAGTATCTGGCACACAGATGAGGGTGGTTAGAATAATAAAAACCCCACCTCTGGAGGCTGGCATCGGAGCCAGAGGCCGGCTGGCAGAGCCTGTGGTTGCTCCATGGATTAGGGAAGGGGCCTTGATTCCAGGTGGGACTGATGCTTCCCTGAGCACTGCGGGGGTGACCGCTGGGAGGAGGAGGACTGTGCGAGGAATTAATTGTTGTGCATGAGAAACCAAGTTCCTCCGGCCAAACTTCGGGGCTTGGAGATCCTGGGGAAGGCAAGATTAAAACTGACAGCCATAGAATGCCTCTCCTCTGGCCTAAAGAAGGATGAATGGAATATTTGAGATGCTGGAAGCCCTCCTACATGCAAGTTCAAAGAACAGAAAGTGTCTCGCTTCTCTGAGGATTCCAAAGACTTTGCTAAAATGTAATTAAGTTCCAAGTCCCTGGAAATCAATCACGCTCCCAGGAACTAATACCTTGGCTTGTTGATTAGAAGTGAGGGGAGCCAGGGGCAATTTCTCTCCGACGAGGGAAATTCTTGGCTCGGAGATCCAAGAGAGTCAAGCCGGAGAGCTGGAGATCAGGGTGGGGGTGGAGCAGAGGCCTCTGGGAGCTGTGGCTAATTTCATGTGACCTATTTCTTCGGGCTGAAGTCCTCTGTTGGGTACGAAGTCCATCTCCCGATCTATACTTGAGTCTCAGCAGCTTTGTTTTACATCGGGGGAAACAGTAGAAACCATCACTGGATCCCAGGGCTCAGGGAGGCCACCTGTCATTGTTTCTCCCCTTCCCTTCCCACCAAGCCAGAGAGAGAGAGCAGTTGGAGGAGCCGGGACAGCCTGCCAGTAGTCAGCCACCCTGCTCTGCTGCTGCTGGGGCCCAGCCCTGCCCTGGGCACAGGGCATGGTCCTTGCTCTCAGATCTTGACCAGCTTCCCTCTGCAAGGAGGTAATGCTGGACAGGCGTACAAGAGCCTGGGGCCAGGCAGAGCTTGGTCTCTAACCAGCCACGTGGCTTTGACATGGACCAGCTGACCCTGTGGCTTCCGTTGCTCACCTGTGGGATGAAAGGTTGGCTAGTGCTGCTGTGTCTGCGAGGTCACTCCCATTTCAAGCTCTCTTCTCTCTAGTTCCGAGAGCCAGGGTAACTGTGGGGAGAAAGAGAGAGAGGGAGAGAGAGAGAAAGGGAGATGGGCCAAATGCAATAGGGTCGAGGTTGAGGTCTGGGTCCACAGCCAGACACTGAGTCTGCACACCATGCTGCTGGCTCTGCCTCAGCTGAGCTTGGGAGCCGAGAGGACAGTGGGGAAGGGGCTGACTCCACCACGGCCTGAATGCTGATCAGCCCAGCACTCGGTTTCTTTCAGACCAGACAACCAGGCCCAGCTTTGTCTGGACCCGGATGGAGCTATCTCAGCCGGCCCCTCCAGGCGATTCCAGCAGGGGTGTGGGTGCGCTGGGGGAGAGAGGGTGGAGACCAGGAGGCGAGGGAAGTGAGAAGCAGGTGCCTCTGTGTCTTTCCTCCCCAAGGCCTAGGGCGGCCCCTGGTGGGCCCCACGCTCAAAGCCTGCCTAGTGCCCGGGAGAGATCATGGCAGGGCAGCTGGGGCAGAGGAAGTGATGGGGATTGTAGGCAATGGCTGAGCCCAGTGGCAGTGGAGCAGCTGCTCCCGGGGCACTCAGCCTTGCTCTGGGGCCTGGGAAGGCACAGGAGGGCTCTTAGAGAGTTGTACAATCCCCCTGGAGACACCCCAAAGCCTGTGCTATAGCAACCGTGAGAAGAAAGTCCCACTGTCACTTCCGTGGCTACCACCTCTCCCCACTGCCTCACTCCCCTTCCCTCCCTCGTGCTGGTCAGCCCCGCACCGTCAGGCGGGACTCCGAGGCCAGCAGCTCCCAGCTCTGGCAGGTTTTCTCTCCAGGATTTCCCAGCAAACTTTGGGTGGGAAAATCCTCCCTCGACACAGGAAGTGACTGAGCTTGCCCTGTGCAGCCACGGGCCCTGGCGTGTGTTTAATGGCTGGGACTTGGGAGTCACAGGGGCCTTGGCTAGGTGACTCCAGGCGAGTCCTTGCTATTTGGAGACTCATCCCCTCATCTGTAAAATGGGGATGAAGAAAGTACCTCCTCCCAGTGTTGCAGCGAGGATCAGACGGGATGTGGTGCAGGGGCCTGGTTCACAGGGAGGCACTGCTACCGCTGCTGGCCCTGCTCTGTCCCTCCTGCTGGCACCAAGCTCCTGGCAGAGCCGGACTCAGTCCAGGTCAGCTATCTCCAGCGTACACATTGCCCTGCACCTCCCCGTGACCTGAGCTCCCCTGGGTTCCTCCAAGGCAGGGGTGGGGTGTGAGATGACCTCTGGACCTCTGGGGCCACAGAGCAGTGCCTGCCCTCTGGCCTGTCCACACTGTTGTTCCATGCTCTCCATTTCCATTTCCCCAGCTCTCAGGCCTGCGTCTGAGTGGGCTTCAGGGCTTCTGACCCGTTTCCCTCTCAGCAGCTCCAGGAATGGAGGCCTGGCCCTGCCCTTCTCTCAGCACACCTGCGCCTCCCTGCTGACCTGACGCGTGTGCTGTTTGCTTTCCCAAGCTAAGCTGCTAGTAGCCAATTTTCCATGAATCATAATTGCCCCACCCCATTAGACTGGATAATTAAGACTGGATGGTGGGTCTGTTTTCTATTTCTTCTTCTATTTTTTTAAAAAAGATTTTTTATTTATTTGACAGAGTTACAGGGAGAGGTAGAGACAGAGAGAGAGAGAGAGAGAGAGAGAGAGAGGTCTATCCATCTGTTGCTTCACTCCCCAGATGGCTGCAATGGCCAGAGCTGCTCTGATCCGAAGCCAGAAGCCAGGAGTTTCCTCCAGGTCCCCCACGTGGGTGCAGGAGCCCAGGGACTTGGGCCATCCTCCACTGTTATCCCAGACCATAGCAGAGAGCTGGCTCAGAAGAGGAGCAGCCGGGACTAGAACTGGCACCCATATGGGATGCCGGCACTTCAGGCCAGGGCTTTAACCTGCTGCGCCACAGCACCGACCCTGTGGGTCTGTTTTTTCAACACCCAGAAGTGACAGCTGCCCTACACTCTACAGAGAACCCTAGCACCTGTCCACAGCTGCAGCTACTTATCCTCCATGATCTGGCCGTTGTCCTCCCTTCCAGGGGCTGGGGACGGGGCTGCTAATTCAGCTCCTTCGGTGCCTTCCACAAGGTGGTTTTCAGCACATGTCGCAGGAGATCAGCTACCTGGCTTGTGACAGCTCGAGCTGGCTGTGACTAACATTGATTGCTATTAATTTACACCATTGAGTGCTTCCTATGTGCTGGGCCCCATGCTAAATGGCACATGACATGGATGCTCTTTTTTTTTTTAGATTTTATTTATTTATTTGAAAGAGTTACAGAGTGGCAGAGAGAGAGAGAGAGAGAGAGAGAGAGAGAGAAGAGGTCTCCCATCTGCTGGTTCACTCCCCCAAATGCCCGCAATGGCCAAAGCTGGACCAATCCAAAACCAGGAGCCAGGAGCTTCTTCCGGGTCTCCCACGTGGGTGCAGGGGCCCAAAGACTTGGGCCATCTTCTACTGCTTTCCCAGGCCATAACAGAGAGCTGGATTGTAAGTGGAGCAGCCCAGGACTCAAATCAGTGCCCACATGGGATGGCAGCACTGCAGGAGGTGGCTTTACCTGCTATGCCACAGCACCAGCCCCATTGGTGTGCTCTTTAATGCTCACAGCAACCTTATAACACTGGTACTGCTGTGCAACCCAATTTACAGATGGGAAAACCGAGGCTGTGAGAGGCTAAAGAGCTCAAAGTCACACTGGTGAGGAGACAGAACTGGGGTTTGACTTCGGGCCGTCTGACCTCAGAGCCTGTGCTGTTACTCACCTCTCCCTGCTCTGCATGGGGGAAAGCACAGAAAGGCAACCATTTTGTGTGTTTCTTCTTCCTTCTTCTCGTTGGTGTTTTTATCTCCATCTGGGAGACATCTGGGCAGCTCCTGCATTGCAGGGCATGGTGCTGAAACCTTAGTTGTTTTGCAATTAACAGCGGGTTATAGATTACCCCTAGCTCCCTGCTGTACCCTGAAGACAATTAAATGCAGAAAGCTACAAATGTTGAGAGGACAGTAATCCTGCATTAGGTCGCCAAACGGAAATCACTCTGCGGCATCTGTCATTTTGGGATTAGCCATGAGTGTGGATGATCAAGAGTTGGCTCTGTATTTATGCACACAACTTAATCCACACCTTTTAGACAACTTCTCCAGCCCAATTGTGGTCAACAAATTAGTTTCAGATGAGGGACTCTCGCTCCTCCTTGAAAAGCATTCTTTATTTCAAATTATTCTCACTGCCAGCCGCCAGCGCCAACAAGAAAGCCGAGAATTAAACTGTTGATACAAGTCCTGGCTCTCGGCTGTCTCTCATTTGCTCATCACTGATTCTCTTTGTATCTCCCCCTTCTGGGGACGTCCTGAGCAGGAGGGGGAGCCGGTCCTGCGTTAGGAGGGCTTCAAAGCTCCGGGCTGGTTTTCCTTTCATCCTCCTGGAGGCTCCTTTGAGGAACCCTCAGACAGTTCTGGAAATGGGGCCAGCTCAGAGGAGCCTCAAAGCAGCTGGGATTGGACCAGCAGCTTCTCCTGGGGCCAGAGAGCTGTAGCAAGAGACCACACCAGGAGGGCGTGGCTCCCTGTTGTGGTTTTCTTGTTCGTGGGCGGCCAATGAAGAGTGAGGACATTTCTCCAGGGAACACAAACGTGGGAAGAGCAGCAGGCACGGGAACAATGCAGGCTTGGTGTTAGGTGCTCAGGACACCTGGGCTTGCCTATCTTTGTCACAGCTCCAGGAACAGGGTATGCCCCCCTGCCCTCTATGGCTGAAAAAAAAAATGGAAGCTTAGAGCAGTTGCCACTTTCCCAAGGTCACAAACTTGAATGTGGTC